AACATGCCCTTCAGAATGGCTTTCATTTGTTTATTTTTTTTCCTCAATTGAGCTTTTGACAGGAAGCAAGTTGGATATTCCCTGTCAGGAACCCCAGAGTGCAAACATTTCAAATTGCCTGTTATGTGGGAAGGCATGTGCTTTAAAAGACACCTGAGCCTGGCATGTGATTGTCACCCTGAGGGACCAGACAGAAAGGCTTGCATTCACAGAAGGCACAGAGGTAGATGAAGGCAGATTCTTCTCGGATAGTCCCTAAGCTCATGGCCAGCCAGTCTATGTGGACCAGTGGGAAAGAAGAGAAACGATTTGCTTGTGAGATCTCGTGGTGCCGATCATTGGCCCTGCATCCTCCGGAAAGGGGTCATGTGATCACCTTACCTTGCAGATGTGCATGGGCAGCTAAAGCTGCTGCTCACAGGATCATTTTCCCATGATGCTCTTCTGCGTGGTCTTCTCTCTGATAAAAGCCACCAGCAGCTGAAAGCAAATCTCTCCAACAGAAAACCAGCTTCTCCTCCTCATGAACTTTGTCCTAGGAACATTGGGACCTGAGGAGTTATTAACCTGATTTTAATCTTGTTAGGTTTTTCTTTGTGTGTTTGTTTTTGGAACACTTCAAAAATTTTGATCTCAGACTTTACTGAGCTTCTACCTAACTCCTGTTCCTGTAGGTAATTTTTGTTCTGTGTTCACTTCCCTGTCGTCTGCAATTAATATATAGAGACCGTTTGCTTGAGTAACTCAGATAGCTCGTTGGACATACAAAACCATAGGTGAGGCTTACATTTAGTTTCTACTATTTGGCTTGGTATGCTTTGAAAACCCTTCATTTATGTAAGTAATGGCTGTGTGAATGTAGACACTTCTGGCCCTTGGTTTAATATAGTTAATGTTTACCTAAGTCTCTCTTTTCATACGTGATGGAAGCTGCTTCCTTCATCGTAGAAACGTACAAGAGTGTTACTTCTTTGTTTTTCACCCCATTATGGATTCCACTCCATCTTCATCACTTCCCTATTCATTACAGTTTCGCACCTCACTGAGTTAATAAATTCTTTTGACACTCACTTGCCATTCGCTTCCCCTCCTCCCACCACCGTTCATTTGGTCTCCCTCCTCCAAGAGCAGTGTCCATCACTACTCATGCCACGGGTGTGCTCAGACAGTGTCCAGCTGACAATTTTCCAACCCAGCAGGAGGATTCCTCTCCCGTATGTTCATGGGCAGTGAGAGGAAGCCCCTCCTTCCCTTCTTCAAGCACAGGCTGCTGACACCAGCCTGAGAGACAGACCTCCACTCTCCACTAGGGCCACTTGAGATGGGTCCCCTCGAGGTCCCTCCTTGTACAGCCGATTGATCACCTCTCAGGGTGCACTCGCAAGTTAAAGGTAGGTATAAGCCCCAGGGACACAACCATTAAAGGCGTATTTCTCTCCTGGTAGGAAAAGTGGTATTAGGCCACAGTAAAGTCACTGCCAAAGGCAGATAATGGAATATTAATCATGACAAAATGAAAGCAAAGCTTCACATATGTTATACAGGGGTCAGGGAGTTTAGACAAAAGAAGACAAAATGTGTTAAGAGAAAATAAAAACCAAAGTGGTAAAAAGGATAGTATTGAAGTCTCAAGCTATTGCCAGAAACCTTATGATTCCAAATATAAGTACGTCCTCCCGGTGCCTGGGAGGTTGTAGACTTAATAAAGGAAACATGTTATGCAGGATATTAAAGGACTGGAAGTAATCAAAGCTTGTTTGAGGCTTCCTCGTGGGAGAATGAAAGGACAGGACAGAAGTTGGTGTGATCCTGGGAAGGAGGGAAGGAGGGAGGGTCAGGATTCTTAAGGACAATGGAGATCAAACTGTAAGCTTTGGGGACAGTGTTAACCGACAACTGTGAAGGCTTTAATGTCTGGCCTCACTTATGAGCTATCATGTGAGCTGTCACTGTTGTGTCAGTACTGATAGAAGGCACAAGTTTTTAGGTCAGAAAGCTCATCAGTCACAACGATGGCCTGTTCTAGAGCATCATTGATTTTGTATTAGTCTCCCGAGCTGAAGTTCAGGAGTATTTCAGAGAGGATCAGGTGATAGCTACACAGTTTTAGTAAAGGACCACAAAACACGAAGACGCTCTTTTTTTAAATAAGACGTAGTCCTACATATCATTCCCTTCAGAGGTAGACATCTTTATCTTCCAGGGAAACTGCAGACAAGCATCATAATAAATCTGTAAAGAATTATCTCCTAACAATGTTAAAAACAATAACAGCTGCATCATTCATTCATCTCTGTTCATTTATGCAGCATTAGATGAGGGTAGGGCATTGATATTTACCAACTCTAGACAATGTGATAAATAATACATAAACCATAGGTAACAATAAGAGACAAATCAATTTCAGGTAGTCACTGCTATTATAGAAGAGTTTGATGTGTCCTTTTAAATGTCCACATGAGTAAGACAGAAGGATGTGCCTGAGATGTGCATTTTAATGGGTTTATATTTGGTTGAGCTAAATAACCTGGAGGTATTGATGTCTGAAGAGAGAGAGGCTGCAAGTGGTGACCTTGGAAAGTTCATATTCTTGTCTTATTCTTGTGTTACAATGTCGGCAGTAATTATAATGAACACAAAAATGGAAGACATATCCAATCATGAAGGTCAGTAGACTATGGGAGATAAACAACATTTGGAGAAATGACATAGCATTAAGAACTGTGTACTGGCCCTTTCTGTCTTCTCTACCCTGGGAGCAGCTCTCCTGCCTTGGCCCCTCACCCCTGAAAGTGTTTGCCTGCTCTCTTCCCATTCCTTGATCAGGAGCCTCTCTCAAATGCTGAGTCGTCCCCTCTCCACTGTGGAGTTGAAGTGACCACGGGTGCCAAGAGATGGGGGCCTCAGCAGCTTGGCAGTCCAGAAGCCTCTGACCTCACTCATCTCTAGTTGCTGCTTCCAAGCCAGCACCATTTCAAGGGACATAGACATAGCCACCAAGTTCTTTCAGGCTGGGGCTGCTACAGTTGGCATAGCTGGCTCTGGGGCTGGGACTGGGACTGTTTTATGGGGCCTCATCATTGGCTATGCCAGGAACCCTTCCCTGAAACAACAGCTCTTATCCTATGTGATTCTGGGATTTGCCCTCTCAGATGCTATGGGGCTCTTTTGCCTAATGTTGGCCCTTCTCATCTTCTTTGCCATGTGAAGCAGTGGTCTCCAATTCCACCTCCCATAGTTCTGTTGTGTCCCCTCTGCCCTGTTTGCACCTGTTCCTGTACGTCCCCAGGAAGTCTTGGGGAAGAGCTTGGCTCAGGATTTGACAGAGAAGACAAAAAAATACTATATTAATAAGATGGGAAAAAAGAAGAACTGTATACCGTATCTACTAAGCAAAATTTAAAACACAAATATGTCTAGATGCGAAAGCCACTTACCAGCGCAAGATTATATATAGCCTAAGAACACTTATGATAGGAATATTTGAGGGCTTAGCTTTAAAAAATTACTTGGCTTCCAGTGGCTCTCCTGCCTACTTTTTTAAAAGATTATTAATAATAATATTGCCATCCTCCCCTCTTAACTGGAGCCTGATACATAATATTTGTAAGTTATTACTTGACTGACAATAATCCAATGCAATGATTTTGTGATGTGTGACTATATATACATAAACATTAAACAAAATAACAGTCCTCATGTGCTCTACACATAAGGTTTGGATTGATTTCAGGATTCCCAATTCAATGAACACCATCACTGACAACTTCCTTACGAACTTGAAGAAAAAAACATAAGGAGAGAGACAGATGACATTGACAAAAATGGAGAATGAAGATATAAAATGATTTCCAAATACATGATAGAAATCAGGCTAGTTAGCAGGTCAAGGACATGTGGAAAGAAACGTCTAGAAGGCAGATCATGGTCAATGTAGCAGATTATAATGTGAGTTGATAATGAATGAATGATGTTGCAGTAACTGGTCTCTAACTTTGGATATGTCTAAGACACTAATCACATGTCAGTTGTGTAGTAATTAGCCCCTTGTCCTGGGTGGGGAGAAATCCTAAAATTTCATGGGCCTGTAACTTTTGTAGCCATGCTCTCTGGCAGTGAGTCAGTGTGAGAAGTCTTGAGAAGCTCACTTTTAGTCTAATCACAGAACAGCAACTGTGAGCTGTAAGACAGTTAAACAACCTCAAGAACTTTGGAATGACTTCCTCACATACTAATTGGCAGCTTGGAGTAATTAGTTCGTTTGCTTGTTGTTTAGTCATGTAAATGAAACAGATTGACAGTTTAGGAAAGAAAGAAAAGAATGGAAAGGAAGAAAGGAAGCAAGGAAGAATAGTTTGCATCTTTGAGTCCCTTACGACCAGATTTTTTTGTGTATGAAATACATAAGTGATGTGATCTCATTTTAACTTGCTATAGAAGTTCCTTTCTATATTCTTTCTGCTCACATTTGAAAGAATGAATTTGCTATACCAGCCTGAATTATGCCTGAAAGTCATTTGGACTAAGTTTAGCTCTAGGGTGTCCTCATTCTGAAGTGAGTTTTTTGAAATATTTTTCAAGTTAGGCCCTGAAAACACAAAAGTATTTAAAACGCTGTGAGACCAGTGGTGAGAGTTATCAGAAAAGCTGGTTATGTAACTTCATAAGAATTCTGTTCTTTCTCATTCCATCCTGAAAGTATCAGAGCACGAATTTAGAGGAAGCTACCCAAGGCAGTCTTATGTCTGAGGATGGTGATCAAAGACACGCTGGCAAAGAGATGCTCTGCTGTCAGAAAAACCTCCAGTCTTACAAGATGAAAGCCTGTCTATAGAGAACATGGCATCCATTTATTTCTGTCTTACTGCCCAATACCCACCCCTACCCAAGTGTTATGAGGAAGAGATTTGCACTGTTTGTCCAGCTTTAGATCTCAGGGATGACACAGTGCCTTAATACTATGGAAATGTCACTGGTATGGTTCTCTGCTCTCCCTGCAGACCTCCCATGGAAGACTCACAGACCCTCCTGACCCCTGTGGTGAGCTGTGGGCCTCCTGGAGCTCTCTTGACGCGCCCTGTCATCCTCACTCTGCATCACTGCGCAGACCCAAACACCGAGGACTGGAAGATCCAGCTTAAAAACCAAGCAGTACAGGGACAATGGGAGGTGAGTGAACATCTGTGGGAGAACTGGGTCTCCCATGTCCATCACTGAGGCAAGTAAGGGAGACCTTTATTTCTAAAGCAAAGCATGATGGCCTTCAGCTCACGCTCAAAATGAAAGACAGAAGACCAGCACCTACTTCTCTATCGTCTGCCTGGTGGGCAAAAGGAAGGGGATGTTCAAGATCAGCACACAGATAGAAGGATGATCAGATGTCCTAGGAACCCCACTGTGAGGAGTACAGGCACCACATGTTGGGAAAAGAGGGAAGGAGGGATCATCGGAACTTACATCAGAACTCTTCATTTAGCATCTGTCTCTCAAGAATATCTTTATCAAATACTTATGTAAATGATAGTATAAATGTATATTTATATAAAATTTACATATGCAAAATGTGAAGTTACAATATAATCACTTGTGGTATTTTTAGCAAAGAAAGTATAAAGACATACATGAAAGCTTAAGGCTATAATAGTTTAGAAAAAAAAAAAAAACTGCCTTAGTAGCAAAGCATGGTATTCTGGGATTAACTAGATTTTCTTCTTTCTACAAACATTGGCTACACTTGACCATACCAGGGAATCATGTCTTATCAGAGCACATCTAGGACTGAGTTTGGGGTTACGCATTAACTAGAGTCTTTAAACAGACTTAAATGGTCCTCTCTTAATTATTTGCAAGATTCTTTGCTGAATGCCTTTTCCATTTCTGGGGCTAACTGATGCTAATAATGATAGAATGGTGAGCTCAAGAGTCCAGTAAAGTACGAGGAATATTTTCGTGCAAACTCTTACAACAGGCTTGGCCTATGGTGTCCACTGTTGGCCACAGATATTCTAAACTCTGCGTCCAGGTCCTCCTTTCTCCAGTGTCCTGGGGCCTGGAATAAACTTAAAGGCCTTGAGCTGCCTTTTCTCATCAGCATAAGATTCAATCATATTCACTTCAAAATATCATTTCCTTGAGTTTATTAAAACAGAGCTCATCATATCTCAGATGATGCCATAAAGCCTAACCAATAAGCTATCACCTGAGGTGGCAACTTCTTTCATGTCTTTATCCAGACCTGGAGACTAAATCTCATTCACTCACTTTTTTGAGTAGTCCACAACCCACCATGCCTTAGACTCACTGGGGCACAATAGAAAGCCTGGTAGAAGTGACTCCTGCTCCATGGAAACAAAATGACCTAATTCAGAGACTGAATCATGTTCATGCCTGTGTTTTATTTCCTACCCATCATTCTCAATCTGAATTACTTAAAAAGTTGGGAGACCACATAAAAATCAGAATGTGTAGTTGTCTGCGGTAAATCATGGCTCTGCTGGCCATGAGCCTGCCGTCCCATTGGATGAGCTCAGGGGGCACTGAATGCATAACCCAGCCGCATGCTGTATCTGTTCAGTCTCCAGCACGTCTTATCACCTTCCACCCTACCTCCTGCCCTGGGAGCATGTGGAATGTTGACCCTTGCCCTACCAACCTGATTCTCCCTTTTTGTTAGTATATAAATTAAGCCTTTTAGTTACATGGCAGTAGACCAAAACATGGCATGGTTGAATTAGCAATTATTTTTTTTACAAAAATCATCACTTCCACTTATTTCTTACTGAATATTTTTACGTCTAAAATAATGAACTAGTTAATGGAATACGTAAGTAGCAGAGAAGTGTGTAAAAAGACAGTGTGTACCTGCCAGAGCTCACCTTGTGCCGATTCTGAGAGCTGGGGTTACATAGAGAAAAGTATACTATTCTGAGAAATCACTGTAATACGATTTTGGAAAAGAAAGCGCAGTAGTATTGTATAATGTCTTAATTCCTCTAATTATTTTTAGATGTCAATTCTTGGGGAAAGGTTGACATGCTATGGTGATACCTCAATACTTTGCACTTTTAGATTAAATAAAAGATTGTAAGATTAAATTGTAAAATTCTCAGACACAGTTAATAAGCTTAGTTATACTGAAATAAAAGGAATGATTTACTATTGTCTTCTGGGTTTTCATACAGATTCGAGGATAGTATGTCAGTACTCACATCAGCAGTGACAATGAGACAGAGAGCTGGTGCTGGAGAATGAAAACAGATACCACAAAGTTTGTGAAAGTTGAACCAGAAGTCAGGGACATATTCCCATTTTATCCACCCCCATCCATGGTGCCTGGCACATGTCCTTGGTAGCTTAGCCATGTGTCCTTCCCTCTCGTTCGCAGGATGTGGTGGTGGTTGGAGAGGAAAACTTCACAACCCCCTGTTACATTCAGCTGGATGCAGAGGCTTGTCACATCCTCACCGAGAACCTTAGCACCTATGCCCTGGTGGGACAGTCCACCACCAAAGCAGCTGCCAAGCGCCTGAAACTGGCCATCTTTGGGCCACTCTGCTGTTCTTCCCTGGAGTACAGCATCAGAGTCTACTGCCTGGACGACACACAGGATGCCCTGAAGGTGAGTGTCTTGCACCTGATCCACCCTCGTCACCCTCACCTGGACTCTCAGGTCTGGAGTGGCCTTAAACACCTGGAGGTGTGGCTCTGGGCAGGTGTGCAGACACGTGCATTGCGTCCCAGAGGAGGCAGTTACACAGATCTATCTCAGAGGCCACGCTGATAGATAAGCTATTTTCTCGGTGCTGATTCCTCCCAGGGGCTACTTTTGTTTATCTTACTTGAGCTCTTTTAATGAAAAATGTAGAATAATTTGGCAACGAAGCCTGTGGATGGTAAATAATCTGCTTCCATGTTTATCTCAGCTGCTTTCTTCCTATAAAAGAAATTGGCGTAATTGCTCACACTGTATGTTCCTCTTGTGTGCTACTTCATTTATATGCTTTCCCATTCTTTTTACGAGGGCTGTGAGGGAGAGGGTTAGCATTTGACAACAGGCTGCTGCTTTGCAGAATAAATGAGCTTAATTCCTGGTATGATTATTGCCATTCGTTTTATCCCATTTGAAGCTTTAAGGGATATAGTAAGTGCCTTTGAAGAAGTTATGATCTAGAAGGAGGAATAAAGGAAGTGTGCCAGAGTTGAGGAGATAAGCCAGAACGTGATGAATGTCTCAGCTGAGATGCAACATTTTGTATGAGTTCAGGATGGAAAGCTACATAGTATTCTAAAGCCAGAATGTGATGAATGTCACAGCTGAGATGCAACATTTTGTATGAGTTCAGGATGGACAGCTACATAGTATTCTAAGAAAATCTGAACAAGAGCTAACATTTAAGTCTTGTCATAATGGAAGGTAAGGTTTTAAGCACCCTTGATAGGAAAAAAACATTCAAGATGTCTAGATATTGGGAAAAGGACAAAGACACACAAAAGTAAGTAGTAATTGATGTTTTATACCGGTAGACTGAGGACAATAACATCTTTGCATAAGGTAGGCCTTAGCTATCAGAAAGAGCCTACAGAGTCTACAGACATTTAAGCAGAAGCAAGGCATGATTGCAAATATGCATTAGACCCCTGACTCTGACTTACAAGTTAATAAAGGGATGTGGCAGAGCTGTTGTGATATAAGAAAAATAAGAGGAAGGAAACGGGTCCTGACCAGCAGCGTGGTGACTAGCACTTAAGTATTGGAAGATCACACTTCTCTCTTCTAACAATGACAAAGTCTAGAGTGAGTGGCTTTGTGACTTTGTCAATTCATGGTACTATGACAAATACCATGGACTTGGTGACAGTTATTCCTCACTATGCTGGAAGCTGGAAGCCCATTGTGAGGGAGTCATCAGGATTGAACTCTAGTAAAGGCTTCTTCCAGGTTTTAGACAGCCAGTCTCTTGCTGTGCTTTTATGGGGTAGAGAGATGGCTAGGGAGGTCTATGGCTAGGGAGTCTCTTTTATAATGGTATCTATCTTATTCAGGAGAACCTTACCCTCATCATCTAATTACCTTCCAAGGGTCCAATCTCTTGAAACTCCAACTTTGTGGAGTAGATTGTCAGCTATTGTTTTAGATAACACAAACATTTGCCAGCAATAGTGTTTTTACTTATGGACTACTGAGTTAGGGGCCTACGTCTGGTACCCAAAGATATCCAAGGGACAATTGGATATATTTATGTGGCTTTATGTGTCCCACAGTCTCTGTTCCCCTCCCCCTTTGTCCCTGCTTAGCTTTTGGTGTCTGTTCTTCTATTGTCTGATAGGAAAATATCAACTTCTTCAAAATACATATCAAAGTCAGAATGTGCAATATGAGTCTCATTCTTTGACAACATACTAGACTCCGTAAATATGTAGAATTATTTTGGGGGGTAGCAGTTTTAAAATAACACACACTTTCCAAATAATCATATATGGGTCTGGTTTTCTAAACAGACAATGGATCCCAATGTAGAAATTCACGCATCAGTGATATCATGTTGATATTTGTCAGCCAGGGTTAGAAGGGAAAATATCCAACAAGAAGAGTTCAAAAATAAAAATAGTGACTATTACTGAGTGTTTCTGGATGCCAGGCAAATTTCTACATATTTTTGTTAACTCATTCACTCTCTCTACTAGCCCCATAAGGTATAATTATTTCTACTTGACAGATGTGGCCTCCCAAAGTCAGGAAAGTTTCATTGGTTCTAGGTCACATGGCAGTGGTACAGAGAAAGCAAACCTCAAGTGTGGGAAGTTAACTACAGTTGGTCTATGGAACTAACTTGATTAAAAAGCCAGCCATGGACCAAGGAAAGGCTACCATGATATGGAAGCAGGAAGGCCTGCCAGCCAATGGAAATTAGAGTACCCAAGGGAGGAAAATGAGAGTGAAAAGAGTCAAGAAAGCCAAGGGAAGAACATTTTCTGAGTGTCAGGGTATTTCTTTCTACAGTTTCCATCCAGAGAATGATTTTGGATTGTGAAAAAATGGAGGTTACAGGTCAGGACGTCTGGGAAGCAATCTCAGAGATGACAGTAAGGCAGTTGTGGAGAAGTGAGCAGCCATAGGCCCTGGGCAGTTCTCAAGGTGGATGCAGCCAGCATGGTCTCCAGGAGACTACATATATTCTTTTTTTTTTTTCATTTTTTTTCCAACATAATCATTTTATTGATTATTTGGGGATCTTCACTTAACACACCCCAGACACGTCACTTCCCAGTCACCTCCTACCTCACAGACCCCAAAGAAAAAGCCCGACATACGTCCCATTTGTGCTGCCCTCACACTGACTGTAGCATGGTCAAACTCCCATGGCCAGCCTGCTGAGGACAACTCGGTCCTTCCCCGTCACACCCCAGGCGGAAGCTGCCAGCTGTGGAGAGCTATACTTCAGCATCCTTATTCCAGGATTGGGTTTCTCTGCGTAGTCCTGGACTCGCTTTGTAGACCAGGCTGGCCTGAAACTCACAGAGATCTGCCTGCCTCTGCCTCTGCCTCCCTGAGTGCTGGGATTACAGGCGTGTGCCATCGGGTTGTCACAGGAGCCTCCTATGACTCTCTCTCGCCTGTGGGTCTGCAGTCATCCCCGCCACTGCGAAGGCAGCTTCCTTGCCCTTCCCAGACAGTGCGAGCATGGAGCACAGATGTCCACACGGTTTCTGGGAGCAGCACAGACCGTGCACATCCACAAGGCTCTGACACTGGCATGTGCCACGGCCCTCAGTGAGGGCAGTATTGATGTGCATGGTCTGTTCTACTACATATATTCTTAATGATTAAGCTTGTTGGGTTTCCCGATGTGGAAATAAGTAATGTGAATGTGGCTCTGTGTAAGGCTTCAGGTTCTTTCTTTTATCCTCTTTGCGGATGTGTCCGATACTTCTAAGGCACTGTCAGAATACAAATCAAGCTAGGTTTAAACTCTTCTTGGGAAAAGCTGTATTTATTGGAGAGCCATGGGATCCGATTAAAGCAAATCTTCTGAACAATTCCATGCAAAATTATTGCAAGAGGTACATGGCCAAAGACATTGATGGTATCTGAAATGTTTCATCCACACAATTTTTATTCCGACATAGCAATACTCGGGATCTTCTGACCTGCCTTCCCAAGAGACACACAAAGATCTATGCAAACATGTAATGCTTTGCAAAAGCCACATTTGGATATGTTAATTATGGAACAGGGACGGAAATGGTCAATGCAAAGAAGACCAGCAGATTGCTTTCAGCAGTGAAAACAGCCCGAGAGCAGTTTGCATCATGGTCAGTGCTTTCCAGACAGACATTTATAAATTCTCAGCATCTGGGGACCCAGCACTTAGCTGGAAAGAAATGTGAATAATGGATGAGGCATTCTTGCACCTTTTGGCCTTTTAATAATGCAGGAATACCAAAATCCTGGTAATAAGTAAACGGTCTACTCAACACTCCGAAGAGACAATTAGTTCAGTCATGTCTGTACTACCTCACCCACACTTGAATTGGAACATGGAGGCTGATTAGTTCTACAGGGTCCTCCAGTACCAGAAATATACCTTCTTCTCAAACTTCCTGCTGTTTCTCAATGCTGGTCTGGCATCTCTATGCTCGTCTTATGATCTTTACATTTCCAGGCTCTTTTGCATCACCTTTCCCAGTCCTTTCTTCTCTCTTCTTTGTTTTCTCTTTTCTCCGTCTCTTCCTCATTTAGTAATTTTTTTATCACAGTACCTATAAAAAAATCTACTGGGGTTTTGTTCCAGGGTCCTTCTACAAAGGATCTGAGCTACTTTGGCTGGGAATGGAGTTATACCTCAATGTTTCCTGCATATCGTGCAGTCAGTTAAGGTCTTAGAAACTTGAACAAACATTTTACATCTTCAAATCATACATTTCCCCATTCTTTCACTTACTCATCTTAGCTACTCCTGGACCTCCAGATGGCTCTTCCTCCCTTCCAGTGCCTGTAGTGAAGCCACATTCTCTTAATTTAACACAAGGGCTGAGAGAAAAAGCTGGATTCATTCTCACACTTCATAGATGCTCTAGGACATCTCTCCACTTGTGGGTTGGAGTTCCCTCATGTTGTCCATTATGCATTGAGTTGCATTGAGTGCAGCTCCAACAGGACCTGCCCTGTAGACTTTCTTTCAACCTATTTTATTCCAAGCATTCTCTCAAATTCAGTGTTAGCCCCAGAATTGTTGTTCTAGATACATTTATTTTTCGTCTTCATTCCTCTCACATCATCTATCCATTTATCCATCCATCCATCCATCCATCCATCCATCTATCCATGTAGATGTGCTCATTTTTTGGTCTCAGCAGTGACATCTTCTTTGCCAGGATCTCCAATGTGAGCACATCCCCCAGTGTCATGACTGAAACCACATGAGCTTCCATCACTGTCACAGTTAAGCCACCACTTACTTTTAGAAGAAGCTTCCTCAACCTTCCCTGGTCTCTTGATCTAAAAATCCTCTTCTGTCTTTATCCATATCCAGAGAGAATTCATTTCAAACATATGCTCACATTGAGCTATAGCTGGTTGCCCAGATTCCCATCGCCAATGATGCTCACAAAATAACA